GATGCGGGACTCGATCCCGGGACTCCAGGATCATGACCTGAGCCGAAGGCAGTTGCTTAACCAACTGAGCCACCCAGGCACCCTATGATCTCATTTTTATAAAAAATTATATATACACACAGAAAACATTCTGGTGGGGCGCCTGGGTGGCTCAGTTGGTTAAGCGTCTGACGCCTTTGGCTCAGGTCATGATCTCCGGGTCCTGGGATCGAGCCCCACATCGGGCTCCCTGCTCAGCACGAAGTCTGCTTCTCCCTGTCCCTCTGCCCCTCCTCCAGCTCTCTCTCTCTTTCTCTCAAATAAATAAAATCTTTAAAAAAATACATACAAGTCATAAGAATGATTCCTATGTAAGACACAGAAAATTCCTGTTTATATTAAAAAAAAAAAAAAAAAAGAAAACATTCTGGAAGGCACATACCAAATTGTTAACTGGAGAATGAAATTACTGAATGAATTACTTTTACCTTCAACTTGATATAGTTGTGAAGTGAGTGAACTTTTGTAATGAATATATGTTACTTCCATACTCAGAAAGTAAGATTTCAACTTTAAAAATGATCCTGTAAATAGTTGATATCTAATGATTTGCATTCGGTGATTTTATCATAGGATTTTATCTATTTATTTATTTAAAAGATTTTTATTTATTATTTGAGAGAGAGAGCATGAGCAGGAGGGGTAGAGGGAGAGGGAGAGAGAGAATCTCAAGCAGAGCCAGATGCAGGGCTTGATCCCAGGACCCTGAGATCATGACCTGAGCCAAAGCCAAGAGTTGAACACTTAACCAACTGAGCCACGCAGGTGCCCCAGGATTATATTTATTGTAAATATACTTATATCAGTTGCTTGCATTTTAAAAAATCATTTATGTGATATGTATAACAAGGATCAGACCTCAACATTTTTTTAAGATTGAATTTTTTTTATTTTTAATTTTTTTTAAAGGTTTTATTTATTTATTTGACAGAGCACAAGCAGGGGGAGCGACAGGCAGAGGGAGGGGGAGAAGCAGACTCCCCACTGAGCAGGGAGCCTGGTGCGGGGCTCAATCCCAGGACCCTGGGACCATGACCTGAGCCGAAGGCAGACGCTTAACTGACTGAGCCACCCAGGCACCCCAAGATTGAACATTTTTTGTCAGCCAGAAAGTTCGTGTAAATTAACAGCACCATTTGACAACTGTGCAGGGAACCCCTGGGGTGTGGTGCCAGAAGTGTGGGCTGGTATAAACTGAGCCTGGAACTACTTTTGGGAACTTCGTGTAATAGGAAGACCAAACATTCAACCAACTTTATGACTAAGATTCTTACTTGAGAAACTTTCTGGCAATGGTTTTGCTGGAGGGTTGGGGAGTGACTGGTATTTATCAAGAAGAGAGTCCTAGGAAAGTGATCATTCAGGTCTCTGTGAGAGTGGGGTCAGGGAGCATGCTGGAAGGAAAAGTCACTTCATTTGTACTGAATTCTAGGTATAAGGGGAGGAATGTCTGAGATTCCATCAAACAGCAGATTTTAGGATGCCTGTTTTTAATGTTACTGGTCTTAGGAGTTGACCTATCAGCAAGCCAGGATGGGAACATTTTGCATCCCGGGGAACAGTGAATGGAGTTGGGACAAGTGTCCAGAATTTTGGAAAAAATAATAAAATAAAGCAGAATTCCTTCTTTTTACTCTTTACATCAACCTAAATTCAGTTAGATCAAAGATTAAATATATGTCATGAAAATGTGAGGTTACTAGAAGAAACATCAGTGAAGCTTTTCTGTCATCCTGGAATGGGGAAGCCCTTCTATACATATTCAAGCCTCATGAGAAGAAGAGATTAATGAATCTATTACAAATATAACAATTCAGTTCTGAAGAAATGCTTTAAAGACAAGTGATAAACGCTTGCAATTCATATATAGGCAAAAAACTTGTTTCCTTAATGTGCAAAGGACTCTGGCATGGCTGGGTTTTGTATGATTTGCAACCTATGGTTGCATTTCATTTTTTGTGCGTATGACCCTAAATGTTTGCTAAGAACACACCTCGAAGTGGCGTTTCGCTTTTCAGTTTCTTAGACCTGCACCATACTGCGGCCACACCGGGCCTTTGGTTCTTTCCTATGTTTGCTTTAGGTTTTGCTTGCACTGTCCCCCCTCGTTGCCACGTGGCTACCTCTGTCCTGCTCGAGGGCCTCTCCTCAGAGAGACCACGTCCATCCCATGGGCACTCCAGGTCCCTACCACATTCATGTGTCTGGTCTCCCCCACAGTGTAGCACACCTTGGTTCTGGGAATGACTGTGCCCCATTAGCTCACTGGGCTGTGAGCAACTCCACGGAGAGGTGGTTTCTTAAGATAAGGAATCTGCCTGCACCATTGATCGGTTTGTCATTATCCGTAAGGACAGAAGAAAAAAAATAATCCCAACACTCTCCTGACTAACACAGAGAAAAGGTGGCCTTTGTACCTTCCAACAGTACAGATGACAATTTGAATATTGTTATTATTACAACTAATTAGCCTAAAAGGCCTTTTGAGGTTGAAGCTCACATGCCACGGAGGCCCATGCGCCCTCTGGAGTCCAGGTGTCTTGTTTGTTTTACTAACAGGAAACTAAGGTAACTAAATACAGAGCAAGATTTTGTTCTTGTACATATTTTATTTTTTTTAAGATTTATTTATTTATTAGAGAGAGAACGCACGCGCTTGCATGTGTGTGTGGGGAGGGGCGGAGGGAGAGAGAGGATCCTCAAGCAGGCTCCCCGCTGAGTGCAGAGTCCGATGCGGTGCGGGGCTCCATCTCACAACCCTAAGATCATGATCTGAGCCCAAGCCAAGAGCCGGACGCTCAGCCAACTGAGCCTCCATCATTCTTAGCTGGAAAGTTCCTCCTGAAGGTTTTATTGTTTAGAAATTCCACAGCCACTTGCCCCTGCAGCAGAATTTCCTCCTTCCTTCCCGACCAGTCTCTCACCAGCAGCTCTCAGCTCCCCGGTGGGGACAGGGTGCAGTCTTGAGTCAACTTAAGGATTACATCATGAAAAGGAAGAGCAAAAGAATTTTGACCAATGGAATGTGGGTCCTGACATCCTCTGCTTAAGTATCCTTATTCCCTGGCATTCCTCCAGTGGCCAGCAGTTCCTGGCCCATGGTAGGTAATCAAGAAATGTGTAGTCAGTCCTTTTTCCACAAAGTGCCATTGTTCTCACTCATCCTGCTTTGCCTTCTTAAATGCCTTAACTAGAGTTTACCTTTTTTATAGGGGCTTCTGGGTGGCTGAGTGGGTTAAGCAGCCAACTCTTGATTTTGGCTCAGGTTGTGATCTCGAGGTCCTGGGATTGAGCCCCACGTCCAGCTCCTTGCTCAGCAGGGAGTCTGCTTGAGGATTCTCTCTTTCTCTCCCTCTCTCCCTCTGCCCCTCACCCTGCTCGCACACTCTCTTTCTCTCAAATAAATCTTTTTTTTTTTTTTTTAAGATTTTATTTATTTATTTGACGGAGAGAGACACAGCGAGAGAGGGAACACAAGCAGGG